CTTTATATAAAAATCTTTATATAAAAATCTTTAAATAGTTTGCATAACAATGGTCTTTTGTTAAAGTGTTCTTTAGCTGGTATAAAGACGTATGCACGTGACTAATTTCTTACTCAAGATTGGATAATTGCTTCATGAATTATTAATGAGTTTTTGAATGTTCCATAATGAATGATCAAAAAAAAAACTTGGAAGATAATAAACTCGTTGATGGGGAAGAATGACAAATCTAACGATGTAAATGAGTTATTGGTTAATGGCAGATCAATCTCTGATTCTACAACCATCACTAATGAATTTAATGATTATTTCATTAATATTGGGGCGAAATTAGCAGCAGAATATGATGATTCCTGCTCTAATTATTCCTGTTCTAATGATAATCAGCCCATAAATTATAATCAGCCCATAAATTATAATGGTAATCAATCATCAAATACTTCTCTAAAGTTTTCTCCAATACTTGTTGATAATGTCATTTCGACTCTAAAAGCCTTAAAAACATGTAAAGCAACAGGTTTGGGTCAAATTCCGGCTAAAATTTTAAAATTATCTGCCGAGTGCCGACATAGTTGCACCTTCGTTAACATTCATCTTTAATCTGTCGCTTACAACAGGTATATATGTTGATGAATGGAAACAAGCACGCGTAACACCAATTTATAAATCTGGAGATAAAAGGCTTTGTGAGAACTATCGACCAATTTCTGTATTACCGATAGTGAGCAAAGCCTTTGAGAAGGAAGTTTTCCGTCAAGTTTATACATACTTGTCTGTGAACTCTCTATTGTCAAAATTTCAACATGGTTTTCGACCAAAACATTCAACTGTTACTGCCCTTATCCAAATGTGTGATGAGTGGTTAGAAAACATGGACAATGGAAAAATAAATGGTGTTGTGTTTCTAGACATTAAAAAGGCATTTGATTCTATCAATCATCGTGTTTTATTGAATAAAATGAATGAACAATTTGGAATCTTTGGCTCGGAACTAAAATGGTTCGAATCATATTTAATGAATAGAGTACAGCAATGCAGTATTAATGGCATATTGTCTGACAAAAAAGGATTAACTGTGGAGTGCCTCAGGGTTCTATACTGGGGCCCCTGTTATTTTTATTATATATTAATGACCTGCCTGATTGTCTGAGATCAACCGCTCCTTGCATGTATTGCGGACGACACTCAAATATTTTCATCGTCTTATGATGCAAACGAACTTGTTGTAAAACTAAATTCGGACCTTGCTCATGTTTTTGAATGGATGAAAGAAAATAGATTGCAGATGCATCCATCTAAATGTAAAATGATGTTTGTTGGCTCCACGCACAATCTTAATAAATTAGGGTGTGAAGAGCCTATTATGGTAAATGCAAAACCCATACCACGAATCAGTACACAAATGTGTCTGGGAGTAAAACTCGATGAAAATTTGAATTGGGACAGTCATATTACATTGATATGCAAGAAAGTAAGTGCAGCTATTGGCGTTATGAGACGTTTGAAACCTTTTGTTCCGGTGCATACATTAGAATCTGTTTATAAAAGCTTGGTACAGCCATACTTTGATTATTGTTCCCGTTTGTGGGACACTTGTGGCAAGTTGTTAAGAGATAAGCTCCAAAAATTTCAATCCCGGGCGGCGAGGGTTGTAACGGGTGCTAATTATGAGTCTCGGTCGGCTGATGTTCTTAACTCACTCTCGTGGGACACTCTTGAAAATAGACGTTCCGGTGCCAAGTCAGTATTGATGTATAAAATACTTAATGACCACACTGCGCCGGCTCTTCGGGGATCTTTTGTGGGAAGAGAAATGGATCAAACTAATTACAATCTCCGCAATACTGCAACAGACCTTACATTACCTAAGCCAAAAAGAGAATTTTTTAAAAAAAGCTTTAAATATAGTGGTGCTTTGCACTGGAATCAGCTCCCAAATGAAGCGAAACTAGCAAGTTCGCTTCACTCGTTTAGATTAAATGTTGGATAGTGACATGCATACATTTGTATATAGAAAAGTGTGTATATATAGTATTTAGATATAGTTAGTTACTAACAATGGCAGGGCACAAGGCAGAGCACAATGACAGTGCCTTTACCAGTTAAACAATGCTAGCAAAAACAAATATATAATACCGTACCAAGCAGGTACGTACACGATAACGCTCAGGCTAACAAAGGCAGGGCACAAGCAGTATCCTTGCAACAAAGAATGCCTGTGGCAGTCAAACAGTGCTATCAACGGCTTAAGGCCAGAATAGCCTACACTACAAAATCTATGCACAGCAGCGGTCACAACTTACGAAAGCTGTTCTTATCCGACGCAGGACTAACGAGGACGTTGGGGGGCAGGCAGAGGTGGCAAAACATTTGGTGAGGGTGTCGGGGAGTAGGCGGATGCGGCCGGGCCAGATAATTGATTAGGGCAATGAATACGACGATGAGGGCCCCGACAACGAGACACATCGCAGACATGAAGATAGCGACAAACTGCGCGAGCAGCCACACAGCGTCCCAAATTTCAAGAGCGACAGATAGTTGTTCCAAATGAAGCTCCAATACTTTCGCGGGAGAGAGGAGCAAGGGAAGGTTGAGGGACCCGGGTCGAAGCAGAGGTGTGAAAATTGTACAATTCGACATGCATCCCGCACCAGTCAACTACATGGCGTGCTGCGGCGACACGGCGAAAGGCTTCGTCGTAATTGTACCAAGCTAAGCCGCCGAACTGAGTATACATACGTAAAATGACAAGCTGGTAACGAATCAAGTCAGCAGCACGGCTGGGCAAATATGTCACCATAATAAGCATAAACGCCTGCAGCCACTGAGAAATATTGGTCAGGCGCCGGGCCGGCTTGGAAGCTTGAGAGACCACTACCTGCCCATCAATGTAAATTAAGGGCGAAGGAGACCGCATGTCAGACGGTTTTGCTAACAGTGTGGCCAAGTCAATATATTGACCAGAAATAATGTTCGTCACCGTCTTATCAGGTACCGGGAGAAACCCAGGGCCAACCACGAAAGCAGCAGGTTGCGTATGAGCTAAAGGCAAAAACATACCTGGTGCAGCCAAACCTGCAACTGGCGGAGTATTTTGCAGCTGTTGAAGCGACAACGGTGCCCCAGACGGCAACACCGGGCCAGCAGGAAGCCTTGAAGCAGATGCCAACTCTTGACCACGGGCGTGCACATGAGCGACAGAATTAGAATGTGCCTGAGCATGAGCTTGCAGCAAAGCTTGTGCCTGGAGGGTAGCCTGTGCCTGGGCTTGAGAAATCGCCTCCTGGAGGATGGGATCCGTGGAAATGGACGCCTGCTGGAGGATGGAATCTGGGGAAGTTGACGCCTGCTGGAGGATGGGATATTGGGAAGTAGACGCCTGCTGGAGGATGGGATTTAAGGACGGAGCAGGATGGGCGACACCGGAGGAAACTGGGAGGGAACAAAATGGCGGCTGAAAATTGGCCGATGTCGAAGAAAAAGGAAACGTAAAATTCGCCATAACGCCTGGAGTTATTGAAGGACGTGCGGTGGTGGGAACGACACTAGGCGTAGGCCACGGATTCTGTGGAAGGTACGGGACGGGAAGCCATGTACGAGACGCTAAACTTGGTGAAGCAAGCGGCACGGAAGCAGACCACGAAGTCGTCCCAAGACTTGTCACAACCGGCGATGGCAAAGCGCTGGAGGCCGACGACACTGAAGGCAGCATAACAGGGAGAAGCGACGAAGTTGGCGAAGTTAAACCCGACGATGACGAAACCAAACCCACCGATGCAAGTGATGTAGAAGCCGACGAAATAACATCGCTTGTGACTGGCGAAAACGATAAATCCGTTCCAGAACAACTGGCCAGACTATTATTAGTGAGCCGAGGCATCCAAAATAGAAGCCAAAACCCAAACGAAGCACAAGAATCCCCAGAAAAACAAAAATTGAAAACCAAAATCAAGTGCACAGTGTGAGAAGCAGTATGCAAGTGAGCACAGCCCGTGAGCACAGCAAATGGCAAACTCCCGCCCGCTGACAACAGACTGCTTCTGATTGGTCAATGAAATTGAACCCTGCATAAATGCATAATTTACATATTTTAACGACCCACATCACAACTCGTGCTTGATGTTAATTATTTTTATTGCATAAACACATTTAACTAAAGGACGAAAGTGCATGATCGTTATATCTTTGTGTCTACTGTTATATTTTTGTTCAAAAGTGTAGAGATTGGTTTGGGGGTTTGGGGGAAATGGGTAGTGTTCTCCTTCTAAAACTCGATCTTACAAAATAAACGATAGTAGACTAAAAATACTCGTATTAATTCCTGTAATTATTATACTTAGTCTTTTAAAATGAAATCTTTTTTTTCCAGTGGCCATTGGTTTAATATCAGCGCTTTTGTTTTTACCGACCTGAGTGTGAAGAGTGCCTTGCTGTTCCGTTAAGCCTGCTATAATAGATCCAGGGTCCGGATTTAGAAAACTGCGAATTGAGAGGCAATTCGTCAGAAAGTTAAGTATTTAGCTATGTAGGTGTAGTAACTTTCCTGTTCCTGAAAGGCTTTGGTTCTTTTCTGTGTTTGCATGCATGGATGGTTTTTCCCAGGGTTGTGTATACTCGGCACTAAATATATTAACTCGTCAATCATAAATAACTCATTATTATCATGTTTTATTTTATAGCCATCTCGTCATGAAAGTTGCCATTTTCTGTGTTTCTTTGCTCTGTGTCTGGTGAAAGCACGAGTGAGCTGTCTGGGAGAAGGCTCCGGAAACGAAGCAAGCCGGGAACAGAGTTAGTCATCGACGGTCCTCTGAATTGACGGTCATACACCATCACAATGTTACAGTTTATGCCGAGGTCGTTGCCAGGGAAAATGGAATGGATGCATGCATGTCATTCGATGTAGAATATTTGAGCGATGATCTGCGTTCTGGATGTAAATGTTGTGGATACAGTGAACAAGAGCCAACTCTGGTCAATGGCAACCCTGGGAACTCCTTCACCCATTACAAGTGCCAACAGAAGAAGATGTAATTTCTATATTTTACTTGTAATGGGATTACCAGATCTTGAAGATATTGTAATGTATTCTAATTTTAATGCTTGTGGAAATAAATGTTTTAAATGCTTAAATGTGCTTCATTTTTGTTCGCTATATTTTACTTGTTATGAACATACAGTAAATATGTTTCGAATGCATGAATTTGCTCCTTTGTGAAAATGAATTATTCTCCTTCTCCTATAGTAGTTTTCTGGCTTGGCGATTTGTTTGCACTGTATATTCTTGAACCAACATGAAAACATGGCTGCGTATACACTTGTTTGTTGTAAATAAATTACGCTGAAATCAGTGACTTTATAACTGAAAATTATTCAAGACTTCTTACCCTTTGGATGACTTTTTACTGGAAAATCCAAACAGGTCAAAGCGCTGGCTCTACTGTAAAAAACCCTCGGGATGATGTCTTTTATTGTCTTTGGTAGCCTCCTCCTGTCGTCTTTGGTAGCCTTTAACTACTAACTAAGTATAACATAACTCTCTCTTATGAAATGTTCTCACCCTCCTCTAAGCTTGAACAGCAATTATGAACGCATACGTTATGGTCCTCCATTTGGTTTCTGCTACTGTTTTAACACTAATGTGAGTCTGTCTTTATCTGTCATAACGATGTAAACCTATATCCTTCTTAGTCTCTGATGATGTCGTTGAACGACGAAAGCTAAGACGTATACACCTTTATAATAAACTAGTAATTAAAAGTGTTTTTTAAAACAGTTTCTAGCCTCATATGATTCATACTTCTCTCCAAGTCTGTCTTGTCGTTAAATTGGTTGAAAATTAATCCCATGGTTAGAACCAATATGCATGGTCAGAAACTAACATGTACCAATGTGAAACTGTATAGAATGTATGCCTAAACTGCAGTCTATGTAATATATTTGTTTTATTGTTTAGAGACTATATCAAAAAACAGAAAAGCATTAAGGATGAGATTGAACGCCAGTCTATTAAATCATTTAAGGGAGTCAGTGATGAAACCAGCAAATTAAGAAAGGTATCTACTGTGTTGAGATGGTTCGACAATATACGTACAGTTTGTAGATCGTTTTCATATCCGAAATATGTGCTCAGACAGGTTTTCGCTTAGACATTGACGAAATTATAAATTGAAAATTACAGAAATAGATAAGTCAACAATTAGGTACTAAATAACAACACAAATTACACAATTCAAAAATATACTAACCAAACCCGCGCAAAAAGCGACCAAAGGTGAGGTTGTGAAGCTATCTTTGGAAACGTCTATCGCTCTATGGCGGCTGAATGAATCATGCAATGAGCTAATCATGCGTTCAGTTTACTCTGTCCGACATGCAAAGCAAGACAAATTTTGCTAAATTCTCATCCAAATGTAATCAATTTTTCTTATTAATACGTTTGATATTTTTGACAGACACAAACACACAGACACGAATGGAATTGCAACTCAACCAGGCTTTGCAATCAGTTACCTAAAAAGCAGAGTAGCATGACTGATACCTGACGCCAAAACTAGTCACTTGGTCGTGATTGATTGTGTTTATTTTTTCAGGATGTATCTTTGGTTTCAAGTAGTATTCAGAAAGATGCCAGCGCTGTTGAAAGTCTCAAGGTTGAACTAAGTCAGGTAGGAATTTAGGAATGTTCGGTATGAGAAATTTTCGATATCGGTATACCGAAAAAATTATACCGATATTATCGGTATACCGGTTTTCCTTTGATAATTATAAAGGAAAATTCTTTAATGGAAATCTGCAGGAAATTTTGAGTAATTCTAAAAGGGAAAACGATAATTTCGAAGCTGTTTCGAACATGTTTCGAACGACACGTACTCAGTGTAAAATCTCACTGAAGTGGAAATTCTAAATCACTGCAGTAGAAAGTTCTTTGAATTGCCATTCAGTTTTAAAATAAAGGTTATGGTTTCGCCATATAGTTGGTAAATTTAACACGGTATACCGAAAAATTCCGGTATATCGTAAATTTCGGTATATCGGTATGGTTGAATATCCGGTATCGATATACCGATATTGTTTTAATACCGATATTTTCGGTATATCGGTATACCGAACAGTCCTAGGTAGGATATCATCCTTGTAAATCACATCGGATCACATGTCCGCAACTGTCTCTACATGAAAAAGCGATATCCACCATTTTGCTAGGTACTGTCTCTTTCAAGTCTGAGAGTGTAGGGACCGCGAAATGCGACTGACTTTTTAATGGTAGATTTTCAGTTACGACTTTGAAAAGTCGCTTTGCACATTGCTTAGATTGTCTAGATTCTCTGACGTGAAAACAGTACCCCAAAAATGACGGATAGATTGACCTGCGTGAGTAAGGCTAATTAGTTTTAATCGATCTCACTGTCCGTTGTTTCAGGAACTTATAAATGCTGAGGTTGCGCAACAGACCAGCAACACTCCTTTGGCTTTCCAACATGAGAATACAGCACCACGGGAATACTTCCAGAGATTGATTGAATCATTTGAAGAAAGAATGTATCTATATCGAAGACAGGTCGAGGAAGTTGAAAGTCATTTAGCTTCACTTCAACAACCACAGAGTGTCTCACCACAAGGTATAGTCCTACAGAGAACTTTTAAACTGTTTTGTGCGCCCAAATTAGATGCCCAATAAAAAAAACTGCGGACATGAAAATTGCTTATCATAATATAAAGAACTAAAGAGCACACTGCATACCTCTGGCAGCGAAGTATTTCTCATGCATAAATTATACAATGGCCTAATTGTATTGCTAATTTCTCATTCAGGTTTCGTCCAAATTGAACAAAAATTTAATCGATTTGGCCTCGATCTATTACCATTAACCCTACCAATTTCCGTATTAATACGTTGGATGTTTATTGAGTTATCGTGCTAACAGACAAACACACACACATACAAACAAAGGTGACAACATAACCTCCTCCTTTAGAATATGTTAAGAAGTACACCTCGGAGCACATGCAGCATATGTTTTTTTTTTCAGCGCATTTGACCTCTTTTCCATGTACAGTCCAATGATCTACGACACTGCAAACCATCTTCTTTTATTTTCGCACTGCGTGATATTTATTTGTTTTCTTAGAAATTTCTGTTGTCATGAAGAAACTGCATGAAACTTTCATAACATTGGCAGCTAGAATGCACGAAACTCACGAAGCTGTCAAGGTAAAAACGCTTCTTAATCTTTACATAACAGTGATATACTAACATTGGTATGGATTTCAGAAATAGAGTGCTATATTAAGTAAATTTAATTTATTAAATCTTACTGCCTACAAGTACTAACATCAGATTGCACGTGACCTTAATATGTCAGTCTCTTCTCTAGAGTGTAATAAAATGTGCCTGTCGACTCTTAAAGGATTAGTGTCACAATATGATATCGCGGGTTTGTTATTGTTACTTACCCAAAATCAACAAACAACGATAAAAAATCCTTGCTTGGTACATTTTCAGTAAGAATCAGATAAAAGAAGCAAAGATTTTGAAAGAATGGTTTAATATACGACGAATTACCAAAATGTTTCTAGATCTCTTTGTCTACTCGTCCCCAGGAATTTGAGCCCACAATACCATGGTGTGACATTAATCCTTTATGGCCAGGTGTCACTGCATGTTACTAAGATTCAGACCATGGTTTTCAGGGTTGACAGTCGTTTTCCACTTAGCCTACAGAAAAATATTTCGCTTGATTTCTTTTGAATTGTGACCATCCAAATAAACCAGTTCTACTTGACCGCTCACAATTGAAAAGAAATTGACCGAAAAATTTCGACAGCAAAATTTGTGGAAATCCAGCTTTATAGTGAGGAAATTTATCGTAAGTACGGTCAATATTGTAAGAATACTATAACCTGCTTATGTACAAATTGTTAGTTTGTTTTGGCTTAACTATTTTTCTACACTGTGTATTTCAGTTGGAGAAGGAACGATACCTAGCGTACCGTGAGAGAGTGTTTGGTGACAGAACGAATGTTTTCGAAAAAAGAAAGAGTGTTGCTGAGCAAAGGCCATGTAAGTATTCAAGTAATATTTCAAATCCGACTATGAGGACTGGGCTAGATTTCAAGTCCGCGCAATTTGATCAAGTCCGAGGTGAGGCAGAGGACTGGGTCAAAATGTAAGGACTTGAAATCTGGTCCAGTCCGAATTGGAGGATTTGAAATGACATCTCATACGAATAAATCACCACTTAAGGTGAGGTGAATTAATTATCATCCAGTCCAAGAACTGAATTAATTTTGATGCAGTCCTAGGGCTGGATCAATATACTTAATCATAGACGGATTTTGTGGGGGGGTGCAGGGGGATGCTACCCCCCCCCCAATATTAGCTATAACCCCCCCAACAAAATGTCCACCCCTCCAAAAAAATTTTGAAACCCCCCCCCAATATTCGGCATAATAAAAAATAATTAAATAGTCCACTCCAACGTGCAGAGTGTTGATGATACAAAATAAACGTAGGAGTACACTCAAATAGAAAAAGACGCAATACTCTGAAACTAATTGCTCCTCGCTTGCATTCACTGGTTTATTGGACCAATTGTAAAGTTTTGAAACTCTATTATCTCCCCCTGAATAGAGTTTGCAGTGCCTTGTCATGCAAATAGCTTGCTTGCAAAGAACGTTTGGAAATTTTACGAACATTATTTTTAGTTTTAATTCTTTTAGGAAATAGTCTTGCCTAGATTTAATCTTTACGTCCCAAATATTATTTACATCGGAGTTGCATCATAAATTGTACTCAGATTCAAACGACACAATGTCAATGATTTTATAAAAGTAAAAGCATATTGTGTATTGGCCTATTGGGTTTACACTTTTACAGCTTCATTTAACTTTAACTCTCTCAAGTCTCAACAGACAATCGGACAGGCCAAATCCATTGATATGACAACTTCAAAAACGTTTTTTCGAAGCTAAAAATCATGATTTTTTTCAAATTTTTCCAGGGATACTTTGTTTTCAGCTCTCTAGACTCCCACTCGCGGCTCTAGTGCTCCACCCCTAGAATATAGACCTTACTGGGGTTTGGCGACACTTTGTGTTGCTCAGGGCCTTTTTTAACACACAAGCTGGGAGGGGGGGGGGCAAATGAGTCCCCCCTTGTGCCCCCCCCCCCACAAAATCACATTTTGCCGCCCCCCCAGGAAAAGTCCCTTTTCCCTAAAATTATACAAACAAACCAGCGAAGATTAACAAATACATAAACGGAAAGTAAGTTTTAGGCTTCATCCCTTGTCCTTGTTTAACAAAATCGATTTAAATTGTTACTTTTTTCTAAATTATTGTTAATAATTTTTTTTATTTTTTGGATGCTCAGAATGCAGGAAATAGCATTTCCGGGTTTCAAATTTCAAAAATTTTCTGGGGATTATCCCTCTAATAAGCCGATAAATTACAGTTAATATTCTTTTTTACTTTTTGCGCATTTTTTCCATCTTTTACTTCAAATACAAGTATAGTTAGCATAAATTTTAGAGCAAATTTGGATGCTCAGAATGCAGGAAATGGCATTTCCATGCTTCAAATTTCAAAAATTTTCTGGGGGAATACACCCCCACACACCTGACCATTGTTATCCTCCTCTAATAAGTAATGATAAATGATGGTTATTTTTTTTTTACTTTTTGTGCGTTTTTTTCTTTATTTATTTCAAATACAAGTATAGTTAGCATAAATTTTGGACCAAATTTGGATGCTCAGAATGCAGGAAATGACATTTCCGGGATTCAAATTTCAAAAATTTTCTGGGGGAGTACCCCAGACCCCCCCATTCATGCGTGGTATATTGGCCACACACGTGGCCTTCAGCCATTGCTATCCCCCTCTAATATATTATCTCACGGAAAGGTCCCTTTTCAAAAAATGCCCCCCCCCCACGGGAAAATCCTTAAAAAAGGCCCTGGTGTTGCTTAAGTCACCTGCTCGCGGCTCACCCCCCTAAAATTTCTGGCACCACCCCAGAAAAAAATATGAAAATCCGTCTATGGTTTAGAAACGAGTCTGCTTCTAGATGAATAGCTCTTGAGGCTAAACACGTGAACAATACACCGTATCGTTTTAATTCTTTCCGGCCTTGCTTTACGTAGAATGGTCCAAAATAGTCGACCGCACTGTAATAATAATAATAATAATAATAATGATTTAATATGGCATATCCATTTACATGGCTCTTCATCCGACTTACTATGACTTACTATTAAATTACAAAATGACTTACTATTAAAATACAAACTATTTACATCTATGTCACTATACAATGGAGTTTTTGAAAATCTCCAAACAGTTAAAATAATTTAAAAGTTATCAGTCTAAGTTTAGTCTTTCCTTACTCCGATCTAGTATAAGTTTCTTTAAGGAAATCTTAAAGTTTTTAAAATCCATACATTTAAAATCATCAGGAATATCATTAAAAACTTTTGCAGCATTATACTGAAAAGTATCTTCGATGTAAGAGTGTTTGAGTCTTAAAGCACCATCACTGTTACTTCTCAAAACTCTAGTAACTTCTTTTACTTCTAGTGTTAAATAGCCTGGCCATCTTTCGTCATTAAGAGCTTGAAATGCAAGTTTGGCAATACTGTAATCGATTCTTTCTTTAATTAGTAACCAACCAATTGAGACCACATCTTCAGCTTTAGAATACCTGCTATTAACAAAACCAGCAGCCGAGTTTTGAACCTTTTGACCCGTATAGACAGTTGCAATAGTCCAATTTTGACAATACTAGCAATTCAGCCAATTGTTTTCTTAAATGAAATGTTGTAAATCTCTTTAACCGTCGCAAGTCAGCCAAAACAGCATAACACGATCTTATAACTTCGTTTAAATGAAGGTTCCATTTAAGGTGCTCGTTAAGTTTTATACCCAAAACCTTCCATGACTTTGTTCGTTCGATGTTTTGATAATTGATATGCATCGAGACAAGATCCAACGAAGCCAGGTTATGAGTTGTGGACATCTGGGATGTTGAAAAGACCATCGTTTTTGTCTTGGTAGGATTCATTAGCAAGTTCGAATTCTTAGACCAGCTATTCGCACGGTCCAGTTCTTTCTGCATATCATCTACACATTTGCTCAAATTTTTAACCTTGGAGTGCTGATATAAGGACGTATCATCGGCATACTGTAAGTAATTACAATCAAATTTGCCATTCTGTAAGTCAGCCATGTACAGGTTAAAAAGAACTGGGCCCAATATCGATCCCTGGGGAACACCAAATGATACCGGTAGCAATCCAGACTTACGATCATCAATCTGGACAAATTGCTTTCTACCGTCTAAGTAACTATGAATCCAAAGCAAAAAATCCGTTGGAAATCCAAGATCATATAGCTTCTTTAACAGAATCCGGAAATCTACCGTATCGAAAGCTTTCGAATAATCGGTGAATACTGCTAGTGTTATTTCGCCCTTCTTCATAGCCTTCAAGATGTCATCTTTGAGCTTAAGTAAAATCACAGCGGTTGAGTGCCCTTTTCGAAACCCAGACATGGTTTCTTTATATAACGTATTCTGGTCAATACATTGAACCAGTTGGGACAACACTAAACGTTCATATATTTTGGATAGAATTGGCAACACCGATACTGGCCTAAAATCACTATTGTTTACAGGATTGTTATTTTTTGGGATCGGACTTATACGCGCTACTTTCCATGAGGACGGAAATCTGTTTTCTGCGATGAGAGCGTTTACAATATGGGTGAATGGAGAAAGAATGTGTTGCGAAGCCAGCTTTAAATATTTAATTGGTAAATGATCATAGCCAGTGGAACAGTCATTTCGGATCATATTCAGTTGCTGACAAACATCGTTGAAGGTTACTGGTTTCAACTTAAAGCCATTATCACTTCTATCTCGGGGTAGAGACTCTAAAAAGGTAACAATGCCCGATCCTGGACCAGAGTCTACTCCAAAAATGCGTTGGGTTGTAGACACGAATAAATTATTAAGCTCCGTTGGATCTGATCTTATTCGTTTGGGATTTGGGTTAAGTATTTTATGAATTACTGACCATACGTTTTTTGAGCGTTTAGATGAGAGAGCTTTCCTATAGAAATTATGTTTTGCTGTCTTAATAGCCGATTTAATCTTATTCCGAACAGAGCGATAAATTGACCAGTCTGACTCTAACTGCGTTTGATGGGCAATAAACCTCAGAGCATCCCGACGTTTTTGCAGATTTTGGATGTCGACATCTTGAAGCCAAGGAGCAGGAGGACGGGTTAACTTACAACGCACTAAAGGGGCGTGTCGATCAATACAGCTACGTAGTAATTCATTAAATATATCGATTTTCTCATCTATGTCGTCAACAGCGTACACGGTTGAAAATGGCAGTTCGCTAATATCTTGTAGAAATGCTTCTGGACTAAATAATCTCTCCGAGCGAATATATTTAAATCTTGGTTCAAATCTGTTTAATCTCGCGTTTACAATAAGATACGGCATATCGTGATCACTAATTTCCGGTGTAGCTAAAACATCCGTTGCTATAACATTTTTTGGAATATTTGTGATGATATGATCAATGAGACACTTTCTTTTACGAGTTGGTGCTGTGACATGCTGGGTGAGATTGAATGCGTGTAAAACTGCCTGATATTTTTCTCCTATATTTGAAGAGCTACACAAGTCGATATTACTATCACCAGCAATTATCATAATACCGTCCCACTTCAAGTGAACTGCAGCTAGAACTGATTCAAACTTTTCAATCCAAACAGTTTTTTTTGAAAATCAAAATCTGGTTGATAGAAAACTCCAAGCAATACAGTACTGTTTTTATTTTTACCCTTAATCTCGATCCAAATATGTTCCATAGATGGCTCAATGTTCATTAAATCAGATCGTTCCTTGAATTTCAGCTCTTCCCGAATGTAGATGGCAACACCCCCACCTCGTCTTTCCCCGCGATTTTTAAACACCATTGAGTACCCAGGAATCTGAACATATTCAATCTCATGTGTATTATTTTGTAGCCAAGTCTCAGATAAAGTTAAAATATCGAGATCATATTCTGAAACAAGATGCACAAATTCGTCAAATGTGGATAAGATAGACTGACAGTCAAGATGACACAGCCGGAGATGATTTGAATTTCGACTTAGTTTTTCCAAATGAGAATTGATGTATCTCTCACCTTCGGATTCTGATCTACCATCAGCCGTCTCTAGCTCGTTGAGATTTCTCACACTATAAAATGGCAGTTCATGTGCTAAACATGTGGGGCATGTCCACAGGTTCTCATATTGGGTCAAACAAGTTCCCATTGATGTGCAACGTAGATGGGTTAATTCTTGACAAAAAGTGCAATACAATCTTTTGTTATTCACTCTCACTGCCTTGTCGCACTCTGAACATTTAGGAGCCCGAAGAGATCTTTTACACCGTATATTTTCACTGTTCGTATCCGTATTGCTGCTAGTGCAATTAGGGCCAGGGTTGCTTTCTATATCCCCTGCAATAATCAGCAAATTAAATGTAGCTACAGAGTTCGGGTAATATGCTAGAGATTTTTTAGAGTATTTCCGACTTGTGTTTATCCTACATGGCATACATTTCACAGTTGAATAGTTTATAATGCAAATCCGGCCCTCTACAGTATCTTGCACAAAACAAGATGGCCACCAAACACACACAATATTTGGTGATAAACTTGGCGCCTCATCTGATACTACATCCACATGGACAGTCAGATCAATCACAAAACTCTTGTCAAAGAGGGTCAGAGGTGTTTCACCACGCTTACCGTCTCTGTAAACAGGAATTTTGAGGCAAAACATCGACCGTAAACCGATACGCTTTGATGAACTCCTTGTCCTGCAATGACGAATAGATTGAGCAAAATATCCTGAATAACTGCCAAATAACATCCCATCAGACAATCGAGATGTTACAGGCCCAATAACATTAACTTCATTATAACAATTCAGCTGTAATACACCGCCTCGAAAAAGGCAGAAAATCAAAAACAGCGAGAGAACGATATGAAAGCGTCTCAACCCGTTCTTTCGGAAGATCTGCCATTTTCTGATCTTTGACACTCGCTCGAAATCTTTGACAAACGGCGCAATCTTTGATAAGTTTAGCTACAACATCTTTGCAACCGATGATCCAATATCCTGAAGCACGTATCGTATTCCAAGTTATCCCTCGTCCTTGATGATCAATCTTCTGGTGAAAATGTTTTGCTATCAGCTTCGAAACGTGAGCTCTCTTTGGTAAGACTACCGGATGCTTGATATTAGCGTCCATACTAGATCTTCGAATTCTTCCTCCTACTCGTATAACTCCATGTTCGTCCATAAAGGGATCGAGTTTAGCAATCGGGCTAGTTCTAGCTACCGTATTTCGCCGTCGTTGAGTTTCCGGTACATTGACTTTGGGTTTTGACTTTAACGAGCTTATCTCCTGTTTGAATTCTTCTTTCTGCAGTGCCTTGATTATTTCCCGTTCAGCAGCATTCATTTCTTCCACAGTAACAGCTTGGTCAGGTTTCATAACAGTTGCTGCTTTCTCAATGTTCTCGACATCCTTTTCCTCCCTTTTCGTACCCTTTGACGTAACAATCTGCGATAACGAAGACAAATAGCGATGGCCTTCTTGGCTCGGTGCCAACTCGAAAAGTATTCTAATCTCTCTACCACGTCCGTGAATTTTTTCACAGATGTTGCAAAGGTTGTGACTTTCTTTACTTCGACATCATCTGTTTCCAGCTTTGCTTTGTCATCCGGTTGGTTAAAATGATTCCAATCTTGGTGAGCTTCGTATAGAAATGACGGACCGTTTATCCACTTCGAATCGCTCACAATATCACAGGCCTTTAAACCTCGGGATGCCTCATCAGCTGGATTTAACTTTGACTCAACGTAATTCCACTGATCCTTTGACGAATGATGTCTGATTTGTTGGACGCGATTAGCCACGAATACATGGAAGCGACGCGCATCATTGTTAATATATCCTAAAACGACTTTGCTATCTGTCCAATATATCTCTTCGATGCTCTTATAATCGAGTTCTTCTTGAAGCATGGCGCTGACTTTGACAGAAACAACCGCGGCTGTTAGCTCTAACCTTGGAATCGAAACTTGTTTCAGTGGCGCCACACGAGATTTGCCCACAACTAACGAACAGTGGATTCTATCGCTATCATCAACCAATCTTATATACGAACATTGACCGTACCCTTCACAGCTTGCGTCAGAGAAATGATGAAGTTCAGTTTTCTTCACATCTCCAAAGCTCTCAGGTTTGTAACATCTTTCAATTTTCATGTTTCCCAACAAATGAATGTCCTTTCTCCATCTTTCCCACTCTATTATAAGCTTTTCTGGCAGAGGGTCATCCCAATCAGCATTCTCTTTGCACAGGGCTTGTAGGATCTTTTTTCCAGTGAGTAGAACAGGGGCAACGAGTCCGAGGGGATCATAAATGGAACTTATAGTTGCCAAAACCCCGCGTCTTGTAAGTGGTCTGTCCTTTAAGGTTATGCGAAACCGAAAAGAATCACTTTCGATGCACCACTCCATTCCTAGTACTCGTTCGATCGGAAGTATATCGTGACTCAGATCGAGTTCTTTGACTTCGGTAGCACGGTAGTCAACGGGAATGGACTCGATCACTTCTCGCTTGTTTGCAGAAAACTTGTGTAGACGAAATCCGCCTTTCTGGCACATTTCAATGCTGCTTTTTATCAACTTAGTCGCTTGCTCTACCTTCTCAACGGACTTTAACCCATCATCAACATAAAAACAGTTTTCCACTTCTTCACTAGCTTTGGCCGTGGTTTTCAACGCTAGATTGGAACATCCGGGTGATGACGTTACTCCAAATAGGTGGACTCGCATTCTGTAGTCTTCGGGCTCCTTCGATGTATCTCCGTCAGGCCACCACAAGAACCTTAAGTAATCGCGATGCTCTTCATTCACACGTACCTAACAGAACATGGATTCGATGTCACACGTAAACGCTATTCTTTCTTCGCGGAATCGACAAAGTACACCAGTGAGCGAGTTCGTTAGGTCAGGTCCTTGTAAAAGATGTTGATTTAATGATTGACCTTCATATTCGGCTGAGCAGTCAAATACGACCCTGATCTTATTGGGTTTGTGTGTATGGTACACTCCATGATGAGGTATATACCACGGTTTTCCATTAGTCTGTGGAGCTTTCTCAGCGTAGCCTTTCTTCATCATATCATCCATAAATTGCATATAATCTCTTTTGTATTTGACATCCTTTGGCGAACTTTGCTTTAAGGCCATCTAACCTTGATTTAGCAAGCTTTCTGTTCGACGGTAATTTAACTTTGTCGTTTCGAAACGGAAGTGGCAACTCATAATGTCCATCATCAGTAACGTGAATCTCTCTTTTCGTTATATCCAGAAACATTCGATCTTCTAACGACATTGGTTTCTCTCTCTTCTTTTCGGAAAAGTCCTGTTCAAACATCTTTAACACTTCGTGAGGATTCAATACTTCCTTTACTTGGGTTTGCTCTACAAAGGTTGAACCGGTACTCTGGGTTGTGATATCTTTGGTTGTAACTCGATGGCAATGTATTCTAGTTCCGTCTGATTGGCATTCGCGGTGATCAACAGGGTTTGTTACTCCAATCAAACCCCAACCGAATACAGTTCTAATAGCATACGGGTCTTGAGGTTTTCCGGGAATAACGTCACGGGGTTTGATAGCTTCGACACAATTGTTACCAATTAGGAGACCAATACCGAGATCATCACGATATTCTGGTATTTCATTGGCAATTGGACTCAAATGACTCCAATTGATCGCCATTTCTACTCTAGGGATCTGATCTCGACGTGCTGGAATATTTTCACGGGAATAAGCTTTTGGTAAAGGTACATCTACTGACTTATCTTCCGATGAAACAATAAGACCGCTAATTTTCTGGGTTCTGATATCTTCTACAGCATGCATTGTTCCTAACTCAATCACAGTCTCAGGTCCTTCAATTTCTAACTGATCACAAACACTGTCCGTTACAAAGCATGTGTCACTTTGATCATCTAAAACAGCATATGTCATTATTTTCTTCTCAGGATTGTCCTTGTGACATATCCATACCGGAAGTATTAAAGACGATGTTGTTACTTCATTGCAATCATTGCTATGACACACTACGACACGATTAGCTACTTTAGGCTTTTCTTTGCTAGACTCTTCGTTCTCTTTCTTATTCCCGTTCTTAGACTCCTTGGATTCAAAATGGAGAAGTGTGGCATGGGGTTTCTTACAAGTCTGGCATCTAATGGATTCTTTGCAACTCCTGGCCATATGACCATGACATAAACACAGGAAGCAAAGCCCTTTCGACTTAGCTAATTCTGATCGTTCCTTTACAGACTTCTTTAGGAATATGTCACAGTTCTCCAATTTGTGAGGCTTTCTACATGCAGGGCACATGAGTTCATTTATGTTCTTATCACTATGACCAGAGCTTTCATTGTACTTACTTGTGTTGAATGAGCCAAACTTTCTCTTGTGATAACTATTCTTGTCTTCTTGCTTCTTGTCTTTCAACAACTCCTTTCTCTTAGATAACAGAACTTCATGCGAGAACACTGGATGAGTTGCATCCTTTGCTGCCTTTTGCACAAAGTCAACTAGGTCGTTAAAATCATACTTTCCCTTAACAAGCTCAACCGCTTTCGCACTTTGTAACCACTTCTTGCTGTAATAAGGTGGAAGTCTTACTACCAGGTCTTGAATAGCAGAAAAGGTGTCAAAGTCCTTGAGGTGCTTCACTGTTTTCATAGTTTCTTGCACTGTTACCAGAAAGTCGCTGAATTCCTGAAGCTTGGGAGCTCTGCTGCATACTGGCCATGACTTAAGCCTTTCATTGTATGCCTGATAAATCTTGTATGGATCACCAAAGCGTTCTTGCAATATCTGCCTAGCTCTCTTATACGCATCATCAGATTGCAGCCCCAACAATCCATCAATCATTTTCTGGGCTTGTCCACTAGTATATTCCCCAAGGTAGTATAACTTATGTGCTGGGTTTACAGCTTCACCGTCAATCAAGGCATCGAAAGCTAACGTCCACTTGGGTAGGCCAAAATATTACCACTAAATACAGGCGGTTTCGGAGTCGGAAGCGACATCCTTTTCATTAATTCTACTTGTTGTCTTTGAATTTCAAATGTTTCTCTTTGTATTTGCTCTAGGGGACTTGTAGTAGTAGTTGGTTGTAAATGGTTAACAGGTTGGGTATGGGCATTAACAGGTGTAAATGCAGGTTTAGTTGGATCTAAGGGTGTAGTAGGATTCAAGGGTGTAGTAGGAGTTGAAGGTGTAGTGGGACTTGGGGGTGTAGTGGGATTTAGGGGTGTAGTGGCATTTAAGGGTGTAGTAGGAGTTGAAGGTGTAGTGGGATTTGGGGTTGTAATAGGATTCGAGGGTGTAGTGGGACTTGGGGGTGTAGTGGGATTTAGGGGTGCAG